TCTAATAGAAAGAGAATGATTTACCGGTATTACTAAGGCTTTCATCAAAACTCTCGGATCTTGATACCACGTCACTAAAAAAAAAACACAGGATGATTTTTCATAATCATAACATTTATCCTGTCAACAATATAATAATTTTTGATAAAAAATAATATTATTTATATATTATTTCAATATTTTATAAGTTTACTCATTTTGATTGTTATCTACATCTACACTAACTAAATCATCACAATATCATTCTACATCTGAACCAATTTGATCAAATCTCATATAAATAAACATACAAAAATGCCTACCTTTGTTTAGCATTATCAGCAATTTTATGACCTAAAAAAATAGAAGATTGTCATTAACACAATTTAAAAAGTCAAAAAAAAAGATTGTCTTACACAGAACATCAGAAAAATATATTACTACATCTACAACATATCTTTCAGGCAACACCCTTATGTGTACAGGAAGAATATTATAGCATGGTCAAGGTGTGAAGAAATTTATAGACATCGGCAGTTACACAAGACTTTATATATATTATTACATCTACAACATATCTTTCAGGCAACACCCTTATGGGTACAGGAAGAATATTATAGCATGGTCAAGGTGTGAAGAATTTATAGACATGGGCAGTTAGACAAGGCTTTTTTTATACCTTGTTTAGCGAACAGGCCGACAGCAAATATTGATGATTTCAAATAAAAATATAATTTTATTTTTGACCAATTAGCACACCTGCCACCATAAAAAAAGTGGAAATTTCAGAAAAAAATAAAAGTTTCTTAAAATTTTTATTATACCCTCTGCTGCCTTGAAATCTCCAAATATAAGATAATTATGTATATTTCTTCCTACCTATATACATTAGAAGCATTTAACCAACCTATTTTACATTCAACAATAAAATGTTATTTTTATTTTCTCCACCGTCTGGATAATTTTGGCAAAACTATTGGCTAAATAAGAAAACAAAATTTTATTTTCATTTTTATTCCACCCTCCTCCAATAATCTTAAAAAAATAATTACGCGAAACAAGGAATAAAATAAGTCTCGCCTTAAGATTAAACTGACCCATGTTGAAGTGAGCCCTCTGTTGTTGCATTTATATTCTCTTCATTGACAATGAGGAAGAAAACAAGTAATGAACATTGGTTATAAGAGCAATCAATGAGTATAGGATGAGCCTTTGATGAGCATGACTAAATTTACATACCATCTTCTAGGCTATCTCTGCTCATGGCCACCTCAGCATCTCCCCTTGGCCTGCCAGTCTTAACCAACTGTTTAGGTTTTCCCTCCTAAAAGAATGCAAACAAAATATATGAATAAAATTAGCTTTCCTATAGTATAAATGGCATACTACTGTTTATTGCTGGTTGAGACCAAGGGGATGCCAGTCAACTCACCCCCTAGCAAACTCGCTCCTCGCAATCTCGCCCCCTTACAAACTCGCCCCCTAACTAACTCGCCCCC